GCTTGCAAATGCCCCACATATACCATAAACATCACAATCTGATTGGTGACTTGTCCATGTAACTTGCCATTGCTCCTTCTCGTCATCCCAATTATTTTGCACATATTGGCCTTGGGGATTCAAGGTAAGCATTACGAGTCCCATCCCATATGCTGTGAAAGATATTTCAATTGTTCCATTCCCATCATCTTCAACTTTAATACCATTCAGATACGCAGTTCCCATGTTTAATACCCCTATAAAAACCTGACCATTCCATGGACCACTGCGCCAGTATGGTTGAGTTCCATTCAGAATGAACAGTTCAGGAATCTTTAGGCGTTCAACACTGAAAGAAAAGCTTCCAATGGATGGATCAGAAAGGCTTTTCCATGATGTAAGTTCTACTTTCTTACCTGTTATTTTGTTGCTTGTAATTTTCATATGGGGTAACCAAGTATTTGAAGGATGGTTGAAGCTATCCCATATGGTGTTTCCTGTTGTGTTATCCAGCAAGAGAAGGCTTCCATAATCTGAAAGTTGGGAAGTAGAATTGGATGCAATATTGGACACATTTGATGACCAAAGAACCTGTTTGTTTCCATTCAATACCACAAGATTGCCATCTTCAGATATTGTAACAACCCCAGAAGAATCATTCAATGGTTGATTTCTATTAGCCACCCATGTGACAGTGAGGTTGGACTTCCACCAAATTCCTACATAGCGATTTGTAGAGTCAGTGCTGAAGAACCCCAAGGTGAAGTTTCCACTATTGGAGCTAAGAGTTTCAGGGTCCTTGATGAATTTATGTGATGTGATGCTGTCTTTGGCAATACCATCAACATCTAAAATATAACAACTCAAGATAATAAAAACATACAACAAATTTTTGCAGCTTTTGAAATCCATTACTGGCATGAATTCAATATGTTCAAAACACTATGATCATGATGATGGATTATAGATCAAGTAAATATCTATCTTTTCTTCTACACTGGAATTTAGTAAATAAATTCTTTCGTTGCCTTGCTTTGGAATAGAAGAATTATTCAATATTTTTTTTAGTTGAAGCCTCCCCTGGTAATTACAAAACTTACCTAAGAAAAAAATAACTTACACCCAGTAGAGAGTTTTCGAAAATTATTTTAAACTATATGATTACATAGTAGGTACTTCTAAATCTAATCTTATGATATGTAAAAATTCTATTATATTAAAATAATTCCTTTTTGGAAAATATATAAAAATTGAATTTTTAGAATCATCTATATTAAGATATTAAGTTATATACATATTAAAAAAATTGAAGAAGTAAAGAAGTCAATGCCTTAATGGAATGATAGTTAGGGGTTTTAGGTAGTTTGTAAGAAATTTCCAATTCAATCTTCAACCGTAAGCAACTATTTTAAGATAAAACAATTGGTTTTTTTAATAATTATAAAAAAAGCTTTAGGATAAATAAAGGGGAAGGATATACTTACCACCAAGAAAATTGATCACCTTTACAACTAACCTAATCACCATTGATTTCTGTCAATTTAACTGTTATAATTTATTAGAAATTGTTGGGTCACATTTATTAATTAATTATTAATTCTTAATAAATCTAATAAATTATAACCGCTAGATTGACGGAAATCAACGAAGATTGAGTTGGTTATAAATATGGTAAACTTTTTTGATGGTAAAAATATCATGCTCCATAAATAAATAAAATAGATTAATTTGCGTTGTTCTAGCATGCACAAACTTGTCAATATTTGTGTAACATCCCGAGCGCTGACGAGGGCGGGGAGTGATCGCTGGTGTGAAAGGGCATGGATAAGGAGCGGCTCCTGACAGGCTTCCAGCGAGGGGTTACATGAACGAATGAATCGAATCGACACCCGGAAGAGAGGGATTCCAAAGACTGTGCAGGTATGAGACTGCACAGTTTGGAATAACTTATAAGAATTAATTAGTACTACCTATACTAACAAGATGCACCTGCTTTTCGGTAGCTCAGAACGGAAGAAATTCATAGTTAAGCGTGCTTGACTTGGAGCAATCCTGGGAAGTTTTACCGGGAAGTGTGCGAGTGAGGAAAAAGCACACTGAAAAGTCTCGTGTTAGTATGTGGGGATAGTCGTTGATTCTTGAAGCGGCTGGGCGTTACAAGTGGTATCAGAGCAGGGCCTCTCTTCCAGTACGGTGTGGTTCGAGGAGGAACCAGGCGGAAGCTGGTGGGCATGTAACATCCCGAGCGCTGACGAGGGCGGGGAGTGATCGCCGGTGCGAAAGGGCATGGATAAGGAGCGGCTCCTGACAAGCTTTCAGCGGGGGGTTACACCTGACAGGCTTCCAGCGGGGGGTTACATGAACGAATGAATCGAATCGACACCCAAAAGAGAGGGATTCCAAAGACTGTGCAGGTATGAGACTGCACAGTTTTGGATAGCTTATAAGAATTAATTGGTACTACCTATACTAACAAGATGCATCTGCTTTTCGGTAGCTCGGAACGGAAAAACTCCATAGTTAAGCGTGCTTGACTTGGAGCAATTCCTGGGAAGTTTTTCCGGGAAGTGTGCGAGTGAGGAAAAAGCACACTGAAAAGTCTCGTGTTAGTATGTGAGGATAGTCGTTGATTCTTGAAGCGGCCGGGCGTTACAATTTGGTGAACTGGTCGTATCATAGAAAAAAAATATAATTATCGTTCACATTACATAAGATATTTGACTTGCATTAATTAATTTTGGAACATCTTTTTATTTATAACTTCAAATTAACAATAGATTGGATATATTGGGCATCAGTAAAGCATAATTTCAAATAGTATAATAATTTAAAGAAAATTTGGAGAACTTGCTTTATTAGTTAGTTTATTAATTACTAGGGGACGCTTCCACCAAAACAAGTTTGAATAATCATTCTACTCCCATAGATGGCAGACTAAAGATTTTTCTAGGAGCGGCTGCATAGCATCCCTTTTTGACTTATAGGTGGAAGAAGGAAAAAGATAGTTATGTAATATTTATGATATGGCAGCTGAAGTTTGTTGTCTGTTTTTGACTTGAATTGTTATTTTTTATATGTTGGTGCATAGACATTATTGATCCGGGAGGATCGGGAATATCCAACCGAAAATTGATGATTGTATCTTGGATTGGTAAGCTTGCGCGAGTTTATGGAAGAGTCGTCGCAAGGGATAATGGTAATGGATCAACATGCACAATAAGATTTGCATATAGCCAAAGGTCTACCTAAAAAGTTTAACCTTTTATTTATATGTGGAGTTACCTGTAGGAGTGAAGTCTTGATAAGAATAGGACCGTTGGAGAATATGATAACTTGTCTTATTATTTATCCCTTAGGCATAGGATAGGGGATCCTATCCTTATCTCTTTAACTTGCCACTTTTCGTTAGTAATGCTCCCAAAAACTATGGGCTGATAGCATGGGTTCATATCAGACATTATCACATAATCCCAATTCAATATGAAACTAGCCAAAGTCTAAAAACGTCATAATCATTTGTGCATTGCATGATGAGTGTAACATCCTCGTCTCGAGCTGGTTCAATTAACATACATACGATACTAAAATATGCATTAGCAGAAGGCTTAACATATGATCTTACATTAGGTTACGAAAATATAAGCTAACTTTTTTCTTTTCTTAAATTCGTTTCATATGATATATATCATCCATCAAAAATCGGACAGCAAAACGGCTGTAACCCAGACAAATGGGGATTTAGATGTAACGTTTGACCACTTCAAGAATCAATGACTATCCCTACATACTAATACAAGATTTTTCAATCTGCTTTTTCCTCACTCGACACTTCTTGGGAAAACTTCACAGGAGGTCACTCATCCCAGAAGTACTGCAAGTCAAGCACGCTTAACTATTGAGTTCTTCTGTTCTGGGCTACCGAAAAATAGATGCATCTTGTTAGTATAGGTAGTACAAATTAATTCTTATAAGTTATCCTCAACTGTATCATACCATACCAGCACAGTCTCTGGAATCCCTCTCTTTCGAGTGTTGATTCGATTCATTCATGTACCATCGCCGCTTGCTAGGAGCCGCTCTTTGTCTGTGCCCTTTCGCAACGGCGATCACTCCTCGTCCTCGTCAGCGCCAGGGATGTTACATGCCCACCAGCTTCCGCCTAGTTCATCCTCGAACCACACTGTACAAGGAGAAAGGCTCTGCTCTGATACCATAAATTTAACGAAATGTAATGTGAATTACTAACTGTGCACTGTTTGCATACGAAAACGTAAAACTTATAAATTTAACACTTTTTATCTAAACATAACTTGTTTGGCATATATTGAACTTTCTTACACTTAACACATCATTTATTCATTTCTGGACTCTACCAGTTGCTTAAACAGCGGTGCGAAATACCCAGCGAAAAACATTATTCACGAGATTTTCGCGAAAAGTGCTAGACTCTATAATTTTCCCCTTTGAACTCATATTTGGCATCAGAATTGCTAAATTAGGTCTTTAATCTCAATTTGCTTATTTTCAAGTTCTATCGGTTGCTACACAGCAGTGTAGAATACCCGGCAGAAGACACTGTTTATGACCAAGTCATGATTACAGTCAAAATAATTGAAATCACGTTTTGAATCTAATTATGACATTTAAATCCTTAAATTAAATCTCTAATTTAAGATTTAGCAGTTGGGGTTGTTATAACGAGGATAAGGCATGATTCAGGAAAACTAATCCCTTATGGTGGAAAATCAATGAAAAAACGAAACAAAGGTGTGATGTTTTATAAGTAAATAAAAATTAATAAAGGGGTGGTACATTTAATGTAAGAGCATTTGAATTTCCATATCCATCTAAACATTTTAAAAACCAAAACTTCAAACTTCTCCTTAAATAGCCCTGCCATGTTATATGTTCTTTGACAAAGAAAAGGTTATACTTAAAATGTTCCAAGTTCCAACAACCCTTTTTTAATTCACAACACCTTAATTGGCAGTAACAACAACCTTTAACGAAGCTCTAGTTTGCTATCTGCCACTGATGTCTGAAACACTAACAGTGTTGAGGGAGTACAATCCATTGCTTGCTACAGAGGACCCTGAACTCAACACATTCTGTATGTACGCAGGTTGCTTTGGAGAAGGAAGATCAAGATTCTCATTGTTAAGCATAGAAATTACAGCAGCCATACTAGGCCTGTCTGCAGCAAATTCTTGTACACACAAAAGTCCTATGTGTAATGACCTTATAATATGCTCATTAAGGCTAGGATCATATATTCCTTGATCAATTAGAGATAAAATGTTGTCTTCTGTCCATTGTATCCATGCCTAAAATGAAAAAAAAAAAACAAGTATCCAACATTTGGAAATTTTATCATCAAAAGGCTACATAACATAACCCCTATAATAGGATTAGGAAAGAATTTGACTTACAAATATTAAAAGGGTCAGAGAATTATCATCGTTATAGAAACATGAGTTTCGTTTTCCGCTAACAATCTCTAGTAGCAAAACTCCAAAGCTAAAGACATCTGATTTCTCTGAAAACACTCCTTGCATTGCATATTCAGGAGACATATAGCCACTGCATTAAAATGTAACACAATTTATTATTCACGTATGCTACAATAATTTTGGACAAAGAAGAAGGTGTACTCACTATGTTCCAACAACTCTTCTAGTATTGGCCTGATCTTCACTCCCTCCAAATATTCTAGCCATACCAAAATCTGATATTTTTGGATTGAGCTCCTCATCTAGCAAGATATTACTTGCCTTCAAATCTCTATGTATGATTTTTAGCCTTGAATCTCTATGAAGATAAAGCAATCCTCGTGCTACTCCTTCTATTATGCTAAATCGTTTTCTCCAATCAAGAAGTTTACTTTTTGAAGGATCTAATAAACCATAAGGTAGAATTATAATGAAGTTACAAGATGAAGCAATCCCATCTATATCAACAAATTAGGATGATTTCAAGAGAATTCACAAGCAGTGAAAAAATTGTTCATATTCATATATAATAGATAAAGGGAAAATTAGGTAAAGGGAAAATTGGATATGGGACAGATGCTAAAGGGGTATCAGTGAACTAACCAAAGATAAATGCATCCAAACTTTTATTTGGCATGTACTCATATATCAACATCTTTTCCTCTCCTTCAATACAGCATCCAAGAAGTTTTACAAGATTGCGGTGTTGAAGCTTAGAAATCACAGCTACTTCATTCATGAATTCTTCTAGACCTTGTCTAGATGCTCTAGAAAGTCTTTTAACTGCTATTTCCTGACCATCTTGCAGTTCCCCCTATAATACGTTATGCATAAACATAAACTATAGACAATGATTTCATATACTACTAACTTTGCTTGATTTAGTAGTGTACCTTGTGTACTGGACCAAAACCACCCTGACCAAGTTTCTTGGATGGGTGAAAGTTGTTTGTGGCAGTTGCAAGCTTTCCAAAATCAAATATTAATAGCTCCTGGAGCTTAACTTGTGATAGTTCTCCGATTACATTGGCACTTGTATATTCTGCAGGTGATTCACCTCTATTCAATTGTAGGATTCCATCACTGTTCTTTTTCCTAGCTGGTTTATTTACAGTGCCACGAATTAGCAAGAGGGAGACACAACATACATAAATGTATACGGGAAGCGATTAGAAATTGTTAATCAATTAAAGAAAAAGAGAACACAAACTAGTTACCAAAAAGAATTTTGAGCATGCCTTTTATGTAGTTTACATCGACTGTAGCAATATATAGAAAACTCGTATGAGTAAATTTGAATCCATGATATATTACCTTGATGGTTAGAAATCCTTCTCCACATGATATATGCACAAGTGACAATTATGGCAGTTCCTATTGTCACTGTTATAGTAATGATGACTGTCTTGTTTCTCCCTTTATCTGTAATTTAGGAAAAACAAAAAATTTATATTTCTAATCCAAACCACTTAGAAAGGATCAAGCCTAAGAAGTGTATTTCAAATTCTTGTGCAGATAAAAACTAGCATACAATGTTAAGATTACCAAGTTCTGTGTAGGCCACACGAAAATATAGATCAAGTCCTCCATTTGAGAATTGCTGTATGTCTATTAGATTCTCAGTCCAAGACATACAACCAATATTAGCATCATATGAATATGCAATGCATGAGCAATTCTCCAAACACTGACTTCTGCATGTGTCTGATGTAAGTGTGAGAGATGACCCATCTGCAAAATCAGGAACTTTGATCATCTGCAATGGCAAAAACCCATCTGCTTTATTACTATCCACACTTTTGTTTTGATTATTGGTCCTTTCACATTGTAGTGGTGTGCTCCTAACACATCCACTAGTCCAGTTTTTTCTATTCCATTCCTCTATGTTCTTTGGCTCAAACCCTCTCAAACAGCTGCATATTGGTGAGCTCTGAGAATTACAGCTTGCAAAAGGCCCACACACACCATAAACATCACAATCCAAGTCATGACTATTCCATCTTACTTGCCATTCTTTCTTCACTCTATCCCACCAATTCTCTTGAAAATTTCCTTGAGAATTCAAGATATAGATTATGAAACCAACCTCATCAACTTCTGTAGCAGAGAGAACAATTCTTCCTTGCCCATCATCACCAACACGGAAACCACCTAGATAAAAAGCTTTCATTGCTGGTATCCCAGTAAAGATCCTACCATTCCAAGGACCAGAGCGCCAATATGGTCTAGTTTCATTCCAAATGAACACTTCAGGAATACTAAGGCGTTCAACACTTAAAGAGAAGCTTCCAGTGGATGGATCGGAAGGGCTTTTCCATGATGTGAGTTTTACTTTCTCACTTGTTCTTTTGTTGCTTGTGAGTTTTATACCCTCCAATAATGCATCTGAAGGATGCTCAAAACTCTGCCATATGCTGTTTCCTGTTGAGCTTTCTTGCAGTACAAGGTTCCCAGAATCTAGAAGTTGAGAACTAGAATTGGATACAATATGGGACACATTTGATGACCAAATAACTTGTTTCTGTCCATTCAATACCACAAGGTTGCCATCTTCAGATATTGTTACAACCCCAGATGAATCATTCAGTGGTTGGTTTCTGTTAGCGACCCATATGACAGTGAATTTTGGTTGCCACCAAATTCCCACATAGCGATTTGTAGAATTTTGAGGGCTGAAAAAGCCCAAGGTGAAGTTACCACCGTTGGAGGTTAGAGTTGCAGGGTCCTTGATGAACTGTGATGATGTGATGGTGACTATGGCAACACCAACATCTAAAAAATAAAAGTAGACTATGATCAAAACGAAGAACAAATTTGTGAACTTGTTCAAACCCATTACACATGTGATTATTTTTCTTACGATAATGGTGGATTTAGTTTTCATAAATGATTTTTATTTTTTTTCTTGATTGAGGCTTCCCTTTTGAGAGTCAACACGATTTGTTGTGGGGCTTTCGCTGTTTATTCTTTACTCAAGTTGTTTCTCGTCGTTTAATTACTACTAAAATAATGTATAAAAATAACTTATCTGGTGTTCAACTTGTTTATATAAATATATATATATATATATATATATATATATATATATATATATATATATATATATATATGGGGTATGTTATATTTACAAACTTTTTTGTTTACAAATGCTTACAAACTACACTATCTTCTCCTGGAACACTGATCTAAAAATAATCAAGTTATTGATGACCGGGCGAAACCAAGAAATAACTCCTCAAAACAATTCCATCGAATTGAGTATGATTGTATGTGTGATAGCATCTACTATACCATGAATATCAATGAACCCTATTATTGAAATCGCTCAGGATACCCTTTTTTAGTTTCTAAAATAGAATTTATTTCTTAGTTCAACTCTTATCTTACTAAGAACATAGTGTAATTTGTAAAAATTTTCAAAAAAAAATTTGTAAATGGATCATTCTCCTATATATATATATATATATATATATATATATATATATATATGTAACAACCAACTAGTGTTACTACAAATGTTACTACCAATCAATTTCACCGTTAGATTGATTATGTTGATACGACGGTTATATTTATTTCTATCTTTGTATGATTACGATTTTCCATATTTAATACTTTATATTTATTTTCACTTTTATATGATTATGATTTCCAATATTTAATACTTTCGCATTAAATATGGGGAATCATAACCATACAAAGATGAAAATAAATATAACCGTCGTATCAACATAATCAATCTAACAGTGAAATTGATTGGTAGTAACACTAGTTGGTTGTTACAATATATATATATATATATATATATATATATATATATATATATGAAGGTTATACTTACAATCATATCTTAACCGTTGATTTTCGTCAATTAACGGTTATCATTTATTGTGAATTAAGAATTCATTAAGGAAAAAATGTGTATCATTTTGAAAGACACAAAGTTGTGTCATTTTAAGTGAGAGAATGTGTGAGAAAAGTTTTAAATGTGTGGGTTCCACCTCTTTGTGGGAGTGAAAGGATGTAAGGTGTGTCATTTAAAATGATATTATTTTTCCCATTAATTAATGAGTTTGATTTGTTAAAATAATAATCATTGATTGACAGAAATCAACGGTTAAGATATGATTGTAAGAGGTTGTAAACGAAAATAGGTTATAAGTATGACTTTTGTATATATATATATATATATATATATATATATATATATATATATATATATATATATATATATATATATATATATATATAAGGATCATCTTACACTAGTGTAAGTTACATTGTTAATCTTTCCGTTGATCCCACTTAGATCTAACGGCTATAAATTTTTAGTAATGTGAGCCATTGGATACAAGAGGATCAATGTTCAAGATTGGATATAAGACTTCTTATTCTTATACTGGTGTAAGAATATCATGCCTATATATATATATATATATATAGGATTATCGTTTCTCAAGCTACTTGAGATAATTTTATCTTCGGCTACTAAATCATAACCACACAAAGATAGATCAATGGTGATAGATGAAGAGAGAGAAAAAGGGAATCATAATCATTCAAAGGTGAATCAATTAATATAAAGAAATAAATAAACAAAACGACGTAGTTTTGGGGTGGCCAGAGATAAACTTATATCAAGTTGCCGAAGAAATATTTTTCCTTATATATATAGGGCTATACATCTATCATGTAAGATGATAAGGAAAACTATTCCTGCTGACCCATAGAATATTCTGCCAACATTTATTTTGTTTTTTATTTATTTTTTCACGATGGGCCCCTCCAAAGTTTGTTTGTGCAGGAAATTGGTTTCCTATCATGGTACATAACATATATATTTCCCATACATATATATATATATATATATATATATGGTAAAATCATTTCTGCAGCAGCTTTACGTACATCAACGACAGGTGTATGATTATGATTCTTCACATTTAATGTTTTTATCTTTTGTATGGTTATGAATCCCAACATTTCATGCTTTCATGTATATATATGGCAAGTATTTGATTGCTACACGTACAGCTGCTGCTGAAATGTATATCCTTATATATATATATATATATATATATATATATATATATATATGGGTTTACATTTCTGCAGCTGCTGTACGTGCAACAATGAAATACTTGTCGTGTATATACTTGAAAGCATTAAATGCGAGGAATCATAACCATACACCTGTCGTTATTGTACGTAAAGCGGCTGCAAAAATGATTTTACCTATATATATATATATATATATATATATATATAGGAAGGTTATACTTGCAATTTATTTTTGTTTACAACCATATCTTAACCGTTGATTTTCTTCAATCAACGGTTATTATTTCCACAAATTAAACTCATTAATTAATTAATAATTTGCAATAAATGATAATCGTTGATTGACTGAAATCAACAGTTAAGATATTATTGTAAAAGGTTGTAAACAAAAATAGGTTGTAAGTATAACATTTCTCATATATATGTGTGTGTGTGGTAATATTATTTCTCCGGCTGTTAGACGTCCAACAATAAATCTTACATCATTGATTGATTATAATTCCCCGCATTTAATGCATCACCCACCTTTGTACGGTTATGATTCCCCAAATTCATTTGCTAGATGTCAAGCGGTGGGAGAAAAGTAAAGCCATATATATATATATGTATATATATATAGGGAGAAACATTTCTCCAGCAACTTGAGATAAGTTTATCTCCGGCCATCCTAAAATTACGTTATTTTGTTTATTTATTTCCTTATATTAATTGATTCACCTTTGAATGGTTATGATTTCTTTTTTTTCTCTCTTCCTTTATTACCATTGATCCATCTCTGTACGGTTATGATTTCTTAGCCAGAGATAAAATTATCTCCGGCAGCTTGAGATACGATAAGCCCATATATATATATATATATATATATATATATATATATATATATATAGGGAAAAATGTTTCTGATGTTACTTTAGATAACTTTGTCTAATGTTCATTGAAACGATGTAGTTTTATGGTTGAAAAATTAAAAAAATAGAATGATAAAGACTATTATAACCCTGAAATAAATTAAAATTACAAAAACACCATGATTTCCGTCCCAAAACTACGTCGTTTCGATAAACATTAGATAAAGTTATCTAAAGTAACTTTAGAAAATACAAACCCATATATATATATATATATATATATATATATATATATATATGAAACAAATATTTCTTCAGTCACAAAAGTCGAGTTTATCTCTAGCCACCCGCTTATAACTATGTACTTTGGAGAGTATATAGTTATAATATTAAAATCATTTTTTCTCTCTACTACAGCCGACAAGTTTCTAAAAATTTTCTTGAGAGAGAAAAAAAGAAACTTTCTTTTTTGAAATATTTCAATTGGTTCATCGCTTCGCTACTAGTCCGAATCAGGGCGGGTCCTAGAATTAATGCTTTAAACTCCTCCCAAAGATGGTGCTAAGAAGAATCAAACACATACTCTCACCCCCACCTGCTCAGTTCCGCACCAACTGAGCTACCATAATTTGGTACAATTTTTTTTAATTTTACCACTATGTATTCCCTGAGTACATAATTATAAGGCGTGACTAGATATAAGCTTATCTCAAGTGGCTAGAGAAATATTTTTTCCCTATATTTGTACAAAAAAACATTTTTGTCTTTGTGGCAAAATATTTTATCTGCCACACACTGTATTATCGATAGATCATAATGTAATTTTTTTACGGACTCATTCTTTGTGGGACCCACTCTTCCTTTGTTTTTTTTTAACTTTTCTATAGTTGAAGTAGATAATTTTGTCTGCCAATCTCACAAAAAAGGAATGGGTATCACAAAAAATGAATCTCTAAAAAAATTACTCTATGTACTACCAGTAATACATAGTGTGTGACAGGTAAAATCTTCTGTCACAAAGGCAAAAATATTTTTTCATATATATATGTTGGACAAGTGGCCTCAAACTCAAGAGGGGAGGGGGTGAATTGAGTTTTAAAAATATTTTCACAAAATGCCTCACTTTTCTTCTTGAAAAAGATTTTCTTAAGTTCAAATAATTTACTACGCGCAAAGACTAAATACTAGCAAATAATTCAAGCAAATAATTAGAAAGATATGAAATTAAATATGCTAAAATAATCCAACAATGCTTATGCAAAGATAAGGGTTAGAGAGAGTGCAAACGAGATGTATCCTGATTCGGTCACCACCACCGAGACCTACGTCCAGACTGAAGCCGCTTTGTCAACTTTCACTATTCGGTTGAGCTTCAAGGGTGCTCAACAAACCACTACACAATTCTCCAAGACTTCGTTCCCTTGGAGACTAACACTTTTTCTTCACTAACATAAGGGTTCACTTCCCTCTCAATTCAAGAAGTAAGATTGAGATGATTAACAAATGATAAGTACTCTCTAAGTACAGATTACACATGTAGAAGCACTAGTAGGTGTATAGCTTCAAAAGAAAGATGAGCTCAAGTGTATGCAATGATCAAGGTGAGTGATTAATGAGCAATAATAGGCTAGAAAGAGTAATAAAGGTTCAATAATTGATCTATAATCGTGTACTGTTCATCACTGTTGATGTGGGTATTTATATTGACACCTCATTTGAAAACTAGCTGTTGTAGTCCGTACATATCCGGATATTTGTCGGGCACATATCCGGATATTGATATCCAGATATTTTTGGTGCCATATCCGGATATTGACATCCGGATATTGATATCCGGATATTCATAGTGAAATATCTGGATATTTCATGGCAGCACCCTTTTTGCACTGCCATATCCGAGTTTCTTTTCTTTCAAAATGGTTTCTAT